TTCTTATTTTAGAAATTGAGTATTCAATTTGATTCAGTTTGCACCAACACTGTTATAGGTTAAATTTTAATCATGAAATCTTGTCTTGACTGAAAACTGATGGTTTTATGTATCATATTGTTAGGAGAGTTATCCATACGGTTGGTCCCAAGTATGCAGTAAAGTATCATACTGCTGCCGAGAATGCTCTGAGTCATTGCTATCGGTCTTGCCTTGAACTTCTCATTGAAAATGGTCTTCGGAGGTTGGTATATTGCAGATGCTATAATGTATTTATTGAATTTATTCATCTATCTGTTGTTTTATGGATAAGATACTATTTTTGACATATATCAATGCAGTATTGCTATGGGCTGTATATACACAGAGGCTAAAAACTATCCCCGTGAACCAGCTGCACATGTGGCTATAAGTGAGAAAATTTCCTAAATATTACAGCACTTTGTTTGATTATGTGAACCAAAATATCTGTTGATGTTATTCTGATGCTGTAATTACAGAAAGTGGTGAATAAAAATCCAAGGAAACTTTGAAATGTTTTCTTACCAAATGGACAAGAAAAATAATATTACATGATATTATATTTTGAATATTTGAAATGGATCAACGCCAGTTGTGCCTTTAATTTTGCAAAGTTGACTCTTTCAATGTGCTAGAGGAAATACAATGTTTTTGGGGCCATTGACTTTTATGTAATGCTCATTACCATTAATTGGCATACATGTCATCTGAAATTCTTTTAATTGACATACATGTCATCTGAAATTTTCACCACTAATACAAGGTTTTGACAAGGATTAAAGCTCTTAAAAAAACTCTCTGTTTGCATTTACTTTCCTGTGTTTCATATTAATATGTTATTCAAACTGTTTTGGAGGTTGAATGTTTCTGGGTTCAAACTTTTTCCTGTTATTCAGGGACTGTACGGCGATTTCTTGAAAAGCAGAAAGTTAAAATCACTGCCGTTGTTTTTTGTACTAGCACATCATCTGATACTGAGATCTATAAGAGGTATCATACCATTATTATTCATTTCTACTACCTTTGCAAAGGTGGCTTGCTTATTTGGATGCATTGTTATAATGCCTCAATTTCTTGAGGAATTTGATGATTATTTTTCATTTTGCTTTTGCTTAAAATGCTATGGACCTGAGGTGTCTGCTTATGTGATATTGTAAATTGTAGATTGCTTCCGCTTTACTTTCCTCGAGATAAGCATGAGGAGGAGGTGGCCATATCTAAGCTTCCTGCTGATGTTGGGGATGAGAATGGTGAGACTATCATTGATGAGCGTAAGATCAGAATAAAGCCATTGCCCAAAAAGACCATTGCAAAGCCTCCCCAAGCTCCAGTTGAACTCCCTGTTAGTGATGTAGGTTTGGTACGAAGGTCAGTTAACTCTATTTCGTGAGAAAATTTTTTTAACCTTTTTTATACTTTTTTTGTATTCTTCTTGGTCCTAGATTGATCAATAAATGCATCATTAGGTGCAGATATTGGAATTTAGCTGTATCTACATCATGACTTTTAGATTTTTACAGTGGAATAAATGAACACGTTGGATTCCTTTCAAGCAGTTTATTGTGATAGTGAGTTTAATCTGTTTGAGCATATTTCTTGCTGTGGATGATTACTACTTGCAACCGTAGTTGTTTTTAAGAAATTTAATATGTTTCTCTCTTACCCACTCACTCACTCTTACATATACGGATGCATTTGTGTACATGAACACATTCAAAAGCTACATGCCTTATGAAGGGTGGTTTTAATGAAATATGCTTTGCCTTGACTATGATTTCTAGAGATTATGCATCTCTCTCTTTCTCTCTCTCTCTCTCTCACTCTCTCTCTCTCTCTCTCTCACACACACATATGCACATGCATGTGAACACATGAATGCACACATAAAAGCTACATGCCTCATTGAGGTTGGTTTTACATCTGTTGGATTGAATGTGTACATAATGTCTCTTCATTTTCTAGAAATCATGCAGTTCATTTTATTTGTTGCTGTATGTGGATGTCTGCATCTTGCTATATGCTGTGATCATATATGAGATTTTTTTTCCAGCTTTGTGGATTTGATAGGTTTTGAGAAAGATATTATTAAAGCAAGAAGTAAATCTTGTTACTATTTTACTCAAGTCTAGTTGCTTGATAATGGGGATCCGTGAAGTGTCACAAACTATTACTTCTATGAGTTTCCTTGTAGTTTCATTGCAGTTTTCATGTATTCTCTTTCAATTAGTGTGATTCTGTTTTAACTATGCTAAATGAATGCGGTCTATTTGAATTTGAAGTCATTAAATGACCTTATTGGATGATTGCTATTTTTTCAGGAACTCAAACTTGGATACATATTTGGATCCCGCTTTCATGTCATTAATCAAAGATCCAGATCAGAGACGACAGGAACAATGGGAAAAAACTGCTCAAGCAAAAGGTGGTTTTAATTGTGCTAAGATGCTTGGATTTGGTGATCTTGGTGGGTCTCCATTATCTGCTGCTGAAGAATACTCACTTCACTCCAGATACCTTGCTAAGGCAAATTCTCTTAATCTATCTGAAATTGCAGAGATGAAAATTGTGTAAGTGTATAATGCAGATCTCCTTTCATTTTTCCCATCTTGAGTTAGTGTTCCTTCTGATTATATTTCATTAGTTTTGGGATTGGTTAAACTTTATGATTCCATTGAATAATTGTGTTCTTCACAATCTATGTCACTGGACTGGAAGCACATTATGATAATAAATAAACGGCTGGAGTCTTGAAACTGTTTACACTCCCCTGCCTATGTCCCCTTTTTATTTGTTGGCTTTACTAACTATATATGGGTCCATGTTTCATTTATAGTATGAAACTCATCAATTTCATACTTTTTTAGATTGGTCCTGGTCTGAATATAATGTTTACTTAGTTTTTATTCGTTTTGTGTCAGTTATCGCGGGGGAGTGGACAGTGAAGGTCGCCCTGTTATGGTTGTTGTTGGAGCACATTTTCTGCTGCGGTGTCTTGAGCTTGAACGCTTTGTTCTCTATGTTGTAAAGGTATTAGCTTACTAGTTTTTTTGATTGGACATTTGAAATTTCTAGACATAGTCTTATTGAATACAACATCATTTAAACTGCTTGATTTTGATAAAAATTTTGTGGTTATGGACACTTAACAGTATACTTTTATTGAAAACTGGCTTTTGAGCTAAGATCATCTTTTGATTATTAATTTCAGGAATTTGAACCCTTGATACAGAAGCCTTATACTATTGTATACTTCCACTCTGCAGCATCTTTACAAATGTAAGTATTTTATTGGTATGAGAAATTTGGTTTAATTCGATGCACTTTAAAGAAACTACCAGGGGTTAAGGGCTGGTGGATTTGGTTAAATGTTTGAATTCTTTAAGTGAAAGCTTTTTGACATTTTTCTTCTGATAGCAATATTATATGCTATTATCTGTTAACTTTTGTCCTTTTAAACGATGAATTCTGCGTACCCATTTCCTTAGGGATATCAGTATCATAGCCATTGGCTGTCATTCTTTTCTTGGTGGGAAAGTGGATTTGATCTGATCATCAAAGGTTAACATATATTAAAAAAAGATAGGAAGCCAACCACCATTGGGGTAAGAAACAGTGCAATGCTATTGAAAATTTGAACTTGTACAACTTCATGCGATTTTACTTAACAATGATCAATAATTTCTTTTACATTTGTTAGAGCTGGTCAATCTTCGAGCTTCTCTAAAAGTCATTCTCTGAAATTGCTTATAAAATTCTCTGATATTAGAGCAAGTCCTAGACACTGACAGAAAAAGAAATAGATGAGGGCTCATTCCCAGCTTATTACATTTTTCTTTTTGTTTCTGGAATAACCAGCCAACCAGACTTAGGATGGATGAGAAGATTACAGCAAATACTTGGTCGGAAGCACCAACGTAACCTGCATGTACGCAGCACAAACTAATTCATCTAATTTGAATACTCAAATACAGCCGTACTTTTTTTTTTATCCTCTTACATGTTTTGTATAGGCAATATATGTTCTCCATCCTACATTTCACTTGAAGGCTTCAATTTTTGCTCTGCAAATGTTCGTGGACAATGTGGTATGTCATAATTATTTGTCGTTGAAGAATGATTTGCGTGTTGAGAAATCTTGCTGTAATTTGATGGTCTTGGAATTTATCTACAGGTGTGGAAGAAAGTGGTGTATGCTGATAGGCTTCTGCAGCTATTCAGATATGTTCCTCGTGAGCAATTGACCATCCCCGATTTTGTGTTTCAGTTGAGTGTTCTGGTTTAATCGTTTTATTATTTCAAACGAAACATGCCATTATTTCTAATCTGTAGGCAAGGGGCATTCTTCTGCAATGTTATAATTGCTTAATCCTATTAACTTTGCCTAGAATGCAATTGGGTTATTCAACAGTTTTCATGATTAAGGTTATTTACCAAGCCAGTGGATTAAAGTTACAGAACTGAAAGTTGAAATGATTCTTATTTTCTGTTGATATGATTATTGCAGGCACGATTTAGAAGTGAATGGTGGAAAGGGTCTCATTGTAGACCCCAGAACGAAATATGTATATCATCGACCGTAGACACTAAATATACAGTTCCTCCAGTTTATAAAAGCCATTGATTCTTGGTTTGATTTATCTTCAACTGTATTTTGTAGGCAGGTGGGGGGTTGTATTTGGTGGTTGTTTATCATGTTAAAATGATGTTTGTTTTATGATAAGAAAGTAATGTTCTTTCTCTTGTATCATCTTTACATGTTTGTTAATAATATTTCAGGGTGATCTGAGCTTTCTATTCGAAGTGTGCAGTTGACAATGTAACAATGTCATATTCTCTCTCTCACAAACACATTTGTAAACAGATTTTTTGACGTCGTTGCACCAACATCCTGAAGTCATTGAGATCATGTTTTCTTATAACTAGTCGGATGTTTGAGAGTTTAGTTAAACTTTGTTGTGGAATTAAGTTCAGCACCAAAAAACATGTTTAATTAATATAACTTATAATGCTTACCCTGATTACCCAATGAAAACACGAACACCAACGCCAGTGGAACAAAATGTAGAAAAATGCTTCATTAAGTTAACGAAGATTAAGTTTCATCGAAACATTGAACCGTAAATGACTTAATAGGTTGATTAATGAAGTACTTGATCGCAATGGTCAGTTCTCAGTTGGATCGTATCCCTGAGGGGACACCTTTGATCGTAAACTTCCGATGGTTCTGTAGTTTTTGAGAGGACCCAATGGGCTCAAATATGAGATCCGTAAATGGGCCAAGAGACCAAAACTACATTTAGTTGTAAAGGTCAGTTGCAGTCTTGGCACCAACTTCTCTGACTCTCTTCCCTTCCACTCTCTCTCTGTCTTGCACTTCTTCAAGTCCTTTCTGCGATGACCACCCTTTACATGCCCTTATTCAGATCATGCACCAACCTTAGATCACTGGCACAACTCCATGCCTACCTTTTAGTCAGTGGGCTTCACCATGACCCGCTCCCTTCCACCAAGCTCATTGAATCCTATGCGCAAATGGGTTCCTTTCAATCTTCAAAACTTGTTTTCAAAACGTTCCCCAACCCAGATTCTTTCATGTGGGGTGTTCTAATAAAATGTTCTGTTTGGAACAGCTTCTTTCAGGAAGCCATTTTTCTCTACCATACTATGATAAACAACAGCCAAGTCCAAATCAGTAACTTTATTTTTCCTTCTGTTTTGAGGGCTTGTTCTGGTTCTGGTCATCTAGGTATTGGTGGAACGGTCCATGGGACCATAATAAAAAATGGGTTTGATGATGATTCTGTAATTCAGACATCACTTCTCTGTATGTATGGTGAATTGGGATGCCTAAGTTATGCTAAGAAAGTATTTGATGAAATGCCAATAAGAGACTTGGTTTCGTGGAGTTCGATTGTTATGAGCTATGTTGAGAATTGGAAGGCAAGTGAAGGGTTGGAGATGTTTCGTTTAATGGTTTTGGAAGGTACTAGACCGGACTCGGTAACAATGCTTAGTGTAGCTGAGGCTTGTGGAGAGTTGGGATTTTTTAAATTAGCAAGGTTGGTTCATGGTTATATAGTAAGGAGGGAGATTGAAAATGATGGTTCATTGACTAATTCTCTTGTTGCAATGTATAGCAAATGTAGTGACCTGCGTAGTGCAGAGAGGATCTTTCTAAATGTAACAAACCGGAGTGTTGCATTGTGGACAGCAATGATATCTAGCTATAATAGAAGTGGTAGGCTTGCAGACGCGTTAAAAGCTTTTTTTGATATGTTGGACTCTCGAGTGGAACCCAATTCAGTGACCATTATGAGTGTTTTAGGTTCTTATGCAGGGTTAGGTTGGCTTAGAGAAGGGAAGTCGGCTCATTGTTACATAATTAGGAAAGAAATGGATCCTGAGTATGATGTTTTAGGGCCATTTTTCATAGAACTATATTTGAAATGTGGGGAGTTGAACTACGCTGAGAAAGTTCTTCACATGGTTGGAGAACGAAATATTGTGTCATGGAATATGTTCATATCTATATGTACTGGGAAAGGGTTGTTAATAGAGGCATTGGTATGCTTTGTGCAGATGCAGACCAGGGGATTAATGCCTGACTCTTATAGCCTTGCAAGTTCTCTCTCAGCTTCTGCAGATGGAGGTTTATTGCAAATTGGAGATCAGATACATGGTCATATTATAAAAAAAGGCCTTTCAGATGAGTTTGTACAGAATTCGCTGATTGATATGTACTCAAAATGTGGTTTAACAGAATTAGCATACATGATATTTGATAAGATCAAAGAGAAAAGTGTTGTAACATGGAATTCTATGATTTGCGGATTTTCTCAAAATGGTAATTCTGTACAGGCAATTAACCTCTTCAATCAAATGTACTTGAACGCTCTTGAGATGAATGATGTCACCTTCTTAAGTGTACTTCAAGCATGCTCCAATTTGGGTTATCTTGAGAAGGGAAAATGGCTTCACCACAAGCTCCTTACCTACGGAATAAGGAGGGATCTCTACATTGATACAGCTTTAACTGACATGTATGCCAAGTGTGGAGACCTTCTAATGGCCCAAAGGGTTTTTGATATCATGTCAGAAAAAAGTGTGGTGTCATGGAGTGTCATGATTGCTGGATATGGAGCACATGGTAGGGTAAATGCTGCCATCTCACTCTTCAATCGAATGGTAGAGTCAGGTGTAAAACCTAATCAAATTACCTTCATGAACATTCTTTCAGCTTGTAGTCATGCAGGATCTATCGAAGATGGAAAGTCATTTTTTAACTCAATGAGGGATTTCGGTGTTGAGCCTAACTCAGAACATTACGCTTCTATGGTTGACCTTCTAAGTCGTGGTGGTGATCTCAACGAAGCATATAGAATCATAAAATCAATGCCATTTCCTGCAGATGCAAGCATTTGGAGTGCCCTGCTTAATGGTTGTCGAATCCACCACAGGATGGACATGATCAAAACCATTGAGCAAGACCTTTTAGATATTAATACAGATGATACTGGTTACTACACCTTGTTATCAAATATATATGCTGAGGAAGGAAACTGGAAGGAATTTGGGAAGTTAAGATCAGTAATGAAAAGCATAGGTCTTAGGAAGGTTCCTGGCTATAGCATAATTGAGCTTGATAAGAGAGTTTATAGATTTGGAGTTGGAGATACTTCTCTTTTGAAAACTGAGGAAACTCTGAGTTTTTTGGAAAATTTCCAAATTTTGGCTCAAGAACAAGTTCGTAATTTAGAAAACAATAATTCGATGATTGATGCTGTCATAATTTCCAAGGATGTTTACTGAAGAATCCCGCAGAGTAAATTGTGTATAAGCAAAATGCTGGGAAAGTTGGGCTTCAATTGGCAGGAAACCAAAAGGAACTGTCTAAGCTGATATCTTGTTATGGATACTTTGTACAGAGAAACAGTAAACTAGTCATAGATATTTTGACCTGTATTAGCACATCCTTTACGGTTAACATAGCTATGGAGCAAATTTGTTTGTGAACCTAATCTGTTCAGGTGTAATGCATTTTCCAACCAAAAGAAACAAACATAGAATTTGGAGAAACCTCTTATAGTACGTCTCACTCTACCTCCATAGATCGAGCTCTTTATGATATACATGATTAACATCGCGGACACGGCGCTTCCTGTCCGTTGATGAGTTATGGCATGAATTTCATTCATGAGTTATGGCATGAATTTCATTCCCCAGTATAGGAGCTAAAGGAGATGTAAAGACTGATCATTTGTATTCATTTGCACATTTTACATAAGAGAATATCATCTTAGCAAGTTAGAGGTTTTAAGGCAGAAACAACGCTAAACCTGGGTCACTACTCAAAAAACAAAACAAAGAACTATGGGGTGGAAAATTCACCCAAAGAACTTCTAACCTCTAACCCTGTGGGAACTGAACATTTTTCCAGATTTATGAGTCACTTAAATTGACAACAGTCACAAGGACAACCTTGCACTCTGGACCACCATCTGTCATAGAGTATTAATGCTGGGTAGCATTGCACCTTCCCAGTCTACCTTAATTTCTGGCCATGAGTTTCGTTGCCCAAATCTAAGATGTACCCATGAAGATTCGAGCTATTCGAAATCTGTACTCAGGACATTTTCAACTTGAACCAGCCACAAGTTCTAGTACAAACCAACATCCAGAATTCAACATTTCCTTAAGAGAACCTTCATAAGTTCAATGCAGTCCCTGATTACCTTCAGTTTTACCAATAAGATCCTATCGATTCCAAGGATGCATGTAAAAAGACTAAGCAAGACATGCTACTCTAGAAAATGAAAGGTCTTTATTAGTATCCATCTCTGTGATGCTATAACCAGGGTTCTTGCTCAATCCTCTCTGCTTCATCAGTTCTCTTACCTGATTAACCTGATTCCATCTTCCATCTAAGGCATATAAGTTAGAAATAAGCACATAATAACAAGCCTTATCAGGATGTAAATCTAGCATTTTCTTGACAGCCATCTCTCCTAGATCAAATCTTGAATGAAGTCCACATCCATGAAGAAAAGCTCCAAACAAACTAAGATCTGGTTGAATAGGCAATTTGTCAATAAAATCCAAGGCTTCTTCAAGCCTTCCAGCACGGGCCAACATATCAATTATGCATACATAGTGCTTCATGGAAGGAACAAATTTATAGTCCTGGCACATTGAATTAAAATATTTCCATCCTTCCCCCAGCCTCCCTGTATGGCTACAGGTGGATAAAATGGTTGTGAAGATTACTTCATTTGGCTCCAAGTTTTCCTTAACCATATCACTAAAAAGTGCAAGGGACCCACAACTGTCCCCTTGAATTCCATAACCACCAATCATTGCACTCCATGTGACACTGTTTTTCTCTCCCATATTGTCAAATATGACACGAGCAGATTTAGAATCCCCACATTTGGCATAGAAATTCAAAAGTGCAGTGCCAACATAAACACTAGAAGATAATAGGCCATCTTTTATAGAGTAAGCATGAAGAGAAGAACCAACATGGACAGCACCAAGTGAAGCACAGGCTGAGAAGATGCTAACCAGTGTGACAGCATCAGGTGATACAGATTTTGACCTCATTTGATTAAACAGTTCAAGGGCTTCATATGTAGACCCATTTTGTGAATAACCAGAAATGATTGAGTTCCAGGCAATTAAATTCTTGTCTGAGACTGTCTCAAATATGTACCTAGCATCTCTAATCATTCCACACTTTGCATACATGTCCACTAGAGCATTTATCACTGTTGGATCCTGAAGTCCGAGCTGAATCCCCAAAGAATGAACTAACCTTCCAAAACTCAAATTGCTCAACTGTGCACATGCTGAAAGCAAAGTTGCAATGGTAACGGAATTGGGCAATATCCCAAAACTTTTCTTATCAATGAACAACTTCAAAGCCTCATCAGGGAATCCATTCTGAGAATATCCAACAATCATTGCGGTCCATGAGACAAGATCAACAGAAGAAAGATTGTCAAATACAGAACGGGCATCTCTTATACTGCCACACTTAACATACATGTCTAAAATAGCAGTCACCATATAGGAATTAAGTTCAATACCGTTCTTAATAACATATCCATGCACCCATTTCCCCTGATGCAAAGCCCCTAACTTTCCACAAGCAGTCACTAAGCTCCCTAACGTGAATTGATTACTCTCAACCATTGCTTCTCTCATCCTATTAAACAAAACCAACGCTTCTTTAGCGCAATTGTTTTGTACATACCCTGCAATCATCGAAGTCCAAGAAACCACATTTCTATGAAGAATTTCACTGAAAACCTTACGAGAACATTCGATTTCTCCACATTTAGCGTACATATCAACAAGACCAGTTTGAACAAAACTATCAGGATTTCCTACCTTGACAATATTGCTATGTATTTTCCTCCCTTCATCAATATCCCGCAATTCGGTGCATGCCTTTAACACAACCGAAAAGACAACATTATCACACGTTCTAACCCTCATTCTCATACGAGCATAAAACCCAATAATCTCCATATACAAATCGTTCAAAAAATACCATCTGATCATCACTTTCCAGGAATAAAAATCTGGGTCAGGAATTCGATCAAACATACACCGGGCATAACCAACATGCCCAAATGATCCATACAGGCTAACCAATTTGGTGTCACATAAAAGATCACCTTTGAGGCCATTTATAATGAACAAAGCGTGGACTTTCTTGAGAGAATCGATGTTTTTGCAAAAACCCAGGAGAGCAAAACACGGGTTTGAAGCAATTGAATGCACTGAAGCTAAAGTATGGTCCATTGAAGGGTATTCAAAAGGGTGGTTGATAGTGTAAGAAAGACATCTCCATTGAAGGTAAGACTTCCTCCTAGTAAGAGAAACAGAAACTTGCCTATGAAAGAAAGTGAGAAGCTTTATCACCATTCTTACACAAGTTTAAGCTTTCTAGTTAAACCCTCCCGCCATTTTGTGATATTGTTTGGTATTTTCAGTTATGATTCGGTAGGTTTTTTTTTTTTCTTTGGGGGAGGGGGGGGTGCGGGGGAGGGCAAATCAATTAAGGTGGTGTTGTCGTTTATGTTCGGTAACTAGTCCTAGGCGCTTAGCTTAATCTGTGAAAAGTGTTTGTTTCTCTGAAAAGGACTTGTCTTTTGAAACCAGTTGTGTCAGTGCAAAGGCGTGCTTGTTCGTACAGAAAATCCTATTTATTTTTTTCCTTTTTACCCTTTGGAAGAAGGAGGAATTTGTCAATTAAAAGGTGTTGAATTAGGTTTAGATTATATTTTCTATCTCGTGTGTCATAATTAGCCAGGGTGTAAATCAATAAAATAGAGTTTTTGATTGGTGAATATATTTTTTATTTATTTATAATCGTTTATTAAATTTAATAAATAATTTAAAATAATATTTTTATATTTATTTATTAAATAAATTGAATGTGAATAGAGATATATTCAATTTATTTATATTTATAAATAAATTTGATTAAATTTATTTAAAATTCATTCGTTGGTTATTGTTTACTGTTTATTTATAATAATACTAATAAATTTATATTTTTATCTTTTATCTTAATTATATTTTAAAAGTCGTTTATATTCATTTGGATTTATTTATGTTCATTTAAGATTTATTTATTTAATTTTTTTATTATAATTTATTTATTATTTAGGAATATGTTTGTTTGAATATGTTTGTTAACATATTCATTTAATGTTCATAAATAAACTTATTTAACTTAATTGAACCGAACACGAATTAAATACAAATATTATATCATTTAAATGAATCGAACTAGAATGAACATAACAATTTTTTTACCAAATACGAATGGAGTTCAAATACTTCTAAAAATAAACGAATTAATAACAAATAAACATTCATTTGTTCATTTCAGTTCGCTTACAACAGTGATAATTAGTTTGAAAATCTTTATATTTTAATTTTATATAGAATTATAAATTTATGAAAATGGTTTTCTAAATTTTTAATTACATTTGGAATTTTTTTCTTTAAAATTTTCATATTTATGGAGTATAAATGAAAATTAAAAATTAAAAAAAATTATAATGAGTTAGCTTTTTTCCATTTGTTATAGCATTAACTATAGACTGTAGAGTTTGAATGGGATGGGATGATTGGTTGTAGTAGGTCAAATTTAATAATTTAAGCAAAGTTAGGAAATTAATTGGTAGTTAGGGAGTAATTATAATTAAAAGAGTTTATAATGAGGTTGTGTTAAAGCTAAACAAAGTTTATGAATGCCCTTTTCATTCTCATTTTTATATTTTAATTAATCTACTAAATATCAATTATATAAAAATAAAGAATATATATATATAAATCACGATCAAAATTTTTATAAATGTTACAGTTTAAATTTTTTTAAATTAAAATTAAAATTTATTAAATATTATTTTTAAAAATAATTACATAATTCAATTAAATTAAATATTGAAAAAAATTTAAACAAATCTTATGCACTACTATTTGAATTTTTTAATAATATAATGATTATGTTTGTAAGCACAAGCACTTATAAGACACGGTCTTGTTTATCAAATTTGGATTTTGAATCCCCCGTACTTAAAGTCAGCTTATGCTTTTAAAAAGTCATTATTGGTCGTTATCACACCAATAAACAAGTTATTAAAAAAACTAAAAAGGGGGAAGATTATAATAAAAGAAGTAATAAACAAACAAGTGGAATACAAATCATCTCCCTATTTCAAATTAAATGTTAAATTTCACTTTTTTAAACGAAATTGGCTAAGTTTGATCAACATTCTATTTGAAATAAAGAGAGTAATATTTTTTTAATTAAAAAGGAGGAAGAGAGACGATTAAATATTTGATTCAAGTGGCAAAAAATTTTGTTTATTTTTTATTTTAAGGTTTAAATCTGTTTAAAGATTGTGAAAAAAAATCATAAAATTTTTATAATAAACATGCATGTTTAAATTTATTTTTAAAAATTTAAAAATAAATACAAGTCAAAAGAAAGAAAAAAACTATGAGGGGCCCCACTGCAAAAAAACAGTAAAAAAAAAAAACAACAATAATAATAATTGTAATAATAAAGAAAGGTATGGAAAAGGACAAGAAGTAAGAGTAGCACTCAAAGCAAAGTGGAGTAGGGTGATAATATAAATTTATAATAGAGGTGATTGAAATTGATAGGTGAAAGGTGATTGGGTAAGAGAGTATCTAAAGGCAAGGCAATTTTGACTATGACCACAGAGATTGTACAACGAATCAACTCAGACACCGACACGACCGCTTCTGCTTTCTGCTGCGTACAAAAGTTAGATCTTCTCATTCTCCTCTTCATTCCCTTTCCACGCGCTCTTCCCTCACGTGTCCCCCACTCTCATTTTTTTTTTTTGTTTTTTACATTCATTTATTGAAGGCTTGAACACTTTTTTTTTCATTGATGGCTCTTATATGAATTATTTCTTTGTAGTGGAAATTTTAGATATTAGAAAGAAATAGTGGAAATCTGTGGTTTTCATTGCTTGTTTGTTTGAAAAATAATTGATACAGAATTGGATGCTTCTGAACTCAACCAATGGAATTGGAGAAATGGGGTTTAAACAAAAGATTCCAAGATAGAGATATCAAGACTGTAATGTTGGGTGGTGGTGCAAGGTGGGACAAGTTTCAGCTGAAAGTTATGGCCATGTTTATGCAAGAGGACATGCAATGAATTAAAAACCGCCTCATTGGAATTCAGAAACAAACATTACAACAGACATACCACACGTTGCATCCTTGTGTTAAAACTCCTATCACATGTACTCGGTACTCACTCTTTTGAATCATTTGAATTCAATCCAGGATTCCATTCCACCCCACTTGTTCTTTTCAGGCTTATCCCAACACTTTCTTCTGTAACTTTCACATAAAACATACAAAATTTTTGCCATTTTTTTCTCAGCTTGAGATATCACTCAAATCCCAAAGTTGCTGGAATTTTTTTCGACCTTTTTCGTTCCCTATGAACATCTCATTCTCAAAATGTTCCAGAAATCTAACACTTCTACCACTCTCATTGCAAAATGCAGCATATATAGTTATATGGTCATAAAAAAGTTAACAAGTTTTCTTGAAAATTTAGTTCTCTCTATATTTTCTCAATTGTTATTGTTTTTCTTCAACGAATTTTTAAGGCATTACATCTGGGTCACAACTATTGATTTTATAAGATAATACGATCTTCCACAATGGTCGCATCAGCCTTATATGGTTAAAAGTGGTGGGATAATGCTGCATTTGCCTTTGCATGAGTTACATTACCATGGTAAAAAGAAGCCTGTGACTTATGTTTCTGTTTTCCAATCTGTTTTGTGTGCATTGTAATAGTATTACAGTTCCAGACACTTGGCAAAATATCAAAGCAACTGCAAGTAAACGCATTGATTGAATCAGTCCTAAAACACGAGAGCTCTTATGGTTTCACTAAATTCACAAACCGAAGGAATGCTGTCATATATCTTGGAAGAAATCATGCAACATTATTTATGGATAATATAAGTTGTTCATAACCACCCAAAGACAGACAATCAAGTGTAGCCAATCAGGATAAGAAATGTACAAAGGCAAGCCCCATAGATCATGATAACCTCACTTCTCAAAGCTGATGAAGCAACAATGACCTAGCTCCCTCTATAGTATATCCTCAATTAATACATTAAAGCCTGTTTTCATAATTAGGTTAACGCAATAGATGGAGGATTACCTGCGGGACATCTTTGTCTGCGAGGCCGTCTGGTAGTCTTCCCCCATCCAGTAAGGCTTCTATCCTCCAGCCCCACTTCAATATTGTTAAGCTGCTGCATCAATGGCAGGCAAGTTGTTGCAGCTGCCAAAGCAGGAGAGGAGCTAGTCACTGACCGTCGCCTCCCCCTGCCACACCCGCTTCGGGTAGAGTTTCTTCTTGTCACTCCTGAATTCCATGAATGACCCATTGCTCTCATAAGCCCTCCAAATGTCTGAAGATCTTCCGTTACCTCATGCCTTGATAAGGAAGTAAGGCCTGGAAGGATGTCCCTTTGGAAGTCCCTCCGCTGCCTTCCTCGCCTTCCCTGGCCCTTTCGTGTTCGAGTTGTTAACAAAGAGGTACTACCTGTTTCTTCCACTTTAAAGTTTTCAGGAACTAGAGGCTTGGGCATATAATCCTCTTCCTTGGCTTCTGCTAATTTCAAAATCATTGATTCAAAGTAATCAATCTCTTCTGAGGAAGATTCATCTTGATCCCTTTCTTTACCTCTCAAAAGAACCTCGAACTTGCTCTCCAGATCCTCCCCAAAAGAGGAAATTGTCTCAACAAACCAATTAAGGGGGTCTGTCATAGCAGTTTCACATGAATTGTGATTGACATCATCCAAATGATTGAACTGACCAGATGATGAGATGGCAACTATTGCCTCCGCTGCACTCTGGATAAGTTCATCCTGCAGGCAGTCATCTTTGCTTTTTGCTGATTGCAAAGGTAATTCATGTGCCACTTCCAGCAATTCTTCTCCAGGAATGACATCCTCAGGCTCAGGAACTGCTGGAGCTTCCAAATCTATCCCTCCATTCATCTTCATACTGGCTCTTGGAACAGAGTGTATAAAAGAAGCTTCATCCTCATCAGCACAGGAGTTCAAGTCAATTTGATGTCTGAAACTTGATAATTTTGTATCTGCTTCCTTCTTTACGGCTGAATTCTCAGTAACAATGTCTTCGCTCACATCAAGAACAGTCATATCACAAGGTAAGTTAATATCAAGTAACCTATTTCTCCCCTTATTTTCTGCTTCACCTTCCGATGGTTGAGGAGCAGACACATACAGGGAGGTAAAAGAAGACTCATTCTTAGAAACATACTGCTTTTCAAAAATGGGAATCCCTAGAATCTTTTTGTTGTGCAGGCATTCACTTATTTCACTTCTGCTGGCATCAACATTATTGGAGAAAGAAACTGACTTCACATTCTGTGTAAAAATTTGACTGAAACCATTTCCAGTCTCATTTTTATTGGTTGACTGCTTTGGAGAAGATTGAGAGAATCTCAACTCTCCAACATTTAAGTCCCTTCCTGCACTTGTGGCCTCATTCTTACAAGCAGGCTTGGGTTGTAGCCATGGCAGCCATGGAAGACGGTCCTCGTACTTTCTTCCTCCATCTATTTGAGGACCTCGATGCAAAACTGGCTCATTAGATGAACTGTTCGAAAGCACCGCATTCAAATTGACATCACTTGTGGACTTCATATCAACACTATTTGAGCAGCTGTAGGGCTTAGTTGAACCATTTGTGGTGAAGTGCTCAGAGACCCCCTTACTATCATTATTACAGTTCAGATAATAATAATTGATTGAAGGGAAGTGGATTGAAGGTTCCTTGGACCCCGATGAGGACAAACCATTTTGATTGGACAGTTCACTTCCAAAACCTGGGTTAAGTCTAGAATTGCTACTCACCTGCCACTTCTCTCCAAAAATCCCATTGCTCTGGAGTGATATCACAGAACTCTTACTTAAAGGACCAGATGAATTAAAAAATGGGTGAGTCTGAACTGACACCGACTTCTGGCTTAAGCTGTTGGAAGGCTTTTCACAAGTCGAAACTGAATGAGACCATGGCTTTACCAGATCAGAAGAAGCAAATGGATTCAAACTAGATACATTAGAAGTCATGATTGACTCTGGATGGCAGCTATTGGAGATTTCAAGATTTCTTTCAGAAACTAAACCATGAACCATTCTTTCTCTTGAGAGATCTGCCTTGCTTTGATCAGATAGCAAAAACGTTGGAGGATCATGAACTTTTCAAAAGGAACCTGTACCTGCGGGGAAGATACAGGCAACTTCTGTAGCTGAAAACCTTGAGAAATAGACTTTGAGTTGCTTATATTGTGCCCTGCAAACAGCGATAATATCCACATGACAATAATAAAAAATACATGTAAAATCACGATAGGAAGGATAGTCCAAATATCTGTTTCTTTTTGTCTAGCAGTAAAACTAAAAAGACAACACCATGGAATTTATTTTCTCCACTGACTACAAGCACACTCAAAAATAAAAATGGAAAAATGACCGTTCATCATCATCTGTACAAGATGTGGCATAGAAAACAAACTAATGGCAACCAGACAAAGCCAAAGAAGATAATATGAGACTTAACAGGTAACAAATGAGAAAAAGAAGGAATATAATGCAAGTTCAATAGTTCAGGAGTGAACATTACCTGATTCAAGCACACGTGAAAAGAATCCTCTAGCATGTCCATTGTTCTCAACATGTATTTTATTTCCAAACCTATTGTCACTTTGGTGATGAGAATTCACAGAAATGTCTTTTGGCAAACCAAGAAGCTCTTGCTTTGGTTTAGGAGACAGCTCACAGCCTCCATGATAGGGGTCATGGCCTAGAAAGTGTGAATATGCAGAACCATCGGTTTCTTCAATCTGAACAGGCTCATTCAAGTCAGCCAAACTATTTTTGCCCCTCAAAAATGAATCAGATCTTGAAGCATCTCCTTGGCAATCATTCTTCCCACCATCACCATGAAGTAGCTTCCCACCGCTCTCAGGCCCAATTTTCCCATTTCCATTTGGAAGATAACTTGACATGCCAGATGCTGTGTCATCCCTGAACTGTTCTGCTTCTTCAGTATCAACGTACTCATCTGCTGGAAGTTGAAGATCTAACATTTTCCTTCTTACTTTGGTAGGTCTGCACTCTAGCACCTCAATGTCCTTTGAATTACCTCCATTTTGGGACAGAAAAGGACCAGCTTGGATGCTGCTTCCTTTCTTGGAGCTAAGGGGAGAATGACTATCTTCAACACCAGAAATTGATGGTCTACCACAAAGAGAGTTTGCTACAGGGAAGCTGGGGATATGCCATTTGTGAGCATCTTCAGTTGTAATTTGTGAGGCTAATGGGCTTGATGATAACGACGGCTCAATATGAACACGATTTTTTTGTAATTCTTTCTTTTTTATTTCATCCATCAAGTCCCTTTGTATTCTGTACAAGCGATGAAGCTCATACACCTGGATGAAGACAGAGAACTCAGATACTTAAATATCTTCAAAACAAAGTGGAGTATGTAAACAAGCAACACTCAAATTCATTGAAACATGCAAGATGAAGACCGCATAAAATTAAAAATACAAGCACACAAACACTAGAGACCTTATTACCTGATTCTTAAATATAGCCTCATGCTCAAGCATTGTTCTCTTCAATAAGTCTTTATCATACCCAGGATATGCATCTACAACGGCCCTTGGGAAAAAGCCATTGTAATACTGACCATTTGTCAAGGTTTTATCCCCATAATAATGTGGCCAGCTACAACTGTTAGAATCCTCATTGAGATCCCTCATTGAGTAATATCCTGGAAAATAGCTTTTAGACTGCACTTTTGTTCCCATTTCTGAAATCAATTAACAAGTCTAAATAATTTGACATATGATGAACAATCATAACTCCAAGAATATAGTAATTGCCTAAGGAAATTACTTGCAGTGTTATCCATTCGCATTATTAATCAAACAAGACAAACCATAGATAATGGTTACAGGCATATATTAAAGGAGCAATTTTTTTCTCTATATTCTCGGAAGTATAAAAGCAATTCTAAAGAAATGTGAGAAAATTCTCTGAAAAGATGCATTTTGCTGAAAACATTGAAAGATAGTCATTATAACAGAAGAGAGCACCTTGGCAATGCTAATGCAGTAATAGTATCCCACCCGAACCCCAAATAAACAAATATAACATTAATCACAAGCAATTATGGATCAGTTTCATGCACCATTGGAATCTACATAAACCTCAGGTTTCCAGGACACTAAGGTGACACATGAGCAAATACTATAACAACTATAAAAAGGCCACAAAAGCCAAGGAAAGGATAGCATTAGTTATGCTAGTTGTGCCAGGGATCAACTTAATTCTTGAGTTGATAAGTACTCAATAATAGCAAAGCAAGCTGTAGCTGATGAGTGGAGAACTGGAAGATGACATGAATAGACAACGGCCTGCATAATATATCCACCAAGGAATTCACTCCTAGTGGAAGTAAAATTCTGTCTCCACAAACTCATTGATAAATCCTTAGGTCTTGGCAATATACGAATACATGAAAGAAAAATATACCGGTCTTCAAATTTTGGAAAACCTGATAATGGCCACACATGCATCACTTTCACTTCATTTTCACATGCCCATCATTTCTCTCATTCTTTGCAGGTTGATCGTCTTCTTTTACTTTCCTTGACATGTGAAATTCTTGAATTATTTCCCATTTCATCGCTAGCATTGTTTTCTCCATCTGCAAACACCTGAATCCCTCAAATTGTTCAAAAGATTCTATTTGATTTTCCTTTACATATTTTCCTGAGCCATTAAGAATTTGTTCATCCTATAAATAGAATAACCACACAAGAAAATTGTCTCTAGGGAACTTCATCCCTATTTTTACCTGCATCCTTACTGAGGAATAGTGAGGATAGCGAATGTAAATCCAACAGGACTAGCCCATCACTAATCTGAAAAATGCAGAGCAACAACAAAACAAAACCTTGACCAACTAGCACACCTCATTATATTGCATCTGTAAATGGAGCAGTTTCTAAAACCTCCATGCTTATCTCTCTTAGCTCCCCTGCATATTTTGTGATGATCCTCAATTTCCCCTCTCAGACTTAAACACCATGTTTTTCCACCTAAAACACATTCAGTCCAGAATGACATGACAAGGAGAATAGAATGCCACCATTGCCAGGTTCAGTGAGCCGACATATAGCCATTAGAATGGAGTTATTTGTCTGACTACAATGTTGCTAACTTATTGAATCATCAGTGAATTAGCAATAGAAAAAAAATCACATATGGTTTCAAACTCTTATGACAAGAAGTTTGTACATATTATATGGTGCTATTATTAAACCACCTAGTTATCTTTTTTATGCATGCCTATCTTAAAAATGCACAACTGTTACTGCACAATCTCAGGGATATGACCACGTTCTCATAACTTACATGAATATACCACAATCTTTAAATCCAATTATCACTCATATTTGATCAGAATGATATTTATCACCCCGAAAGGTTATGTACAGTCAGGTAACATGCTATAGAAGTATTCGAAGTGACCTGAAGGCGAGCATATAGGCATAAGTGAGAAATATATCCTGTTGAAGTAGGCTTGAATAATGTTTGATTGATGAAAAGAAGGTAAGTTAATAATACCTGACAAGTTCTTTTCATTGAAGGAGATTAAAAAAGAGTTGTGGGACGAATGAGGTTAAAGAAGAGATATTTGGTGGGGGTCATAGCATCAATTTCCCCTAACTACCCTACACTAAATTCCATGTAAAAAGCATATATTGAGGATTATTTCACCAACAAAATCTAATTGCAGCAAGAAAAGAGCACACCAAGAAGTAGGAACTTCAAAGCACTGCCAACTTCAAAGAGAAAAACTCGGTTAACTGTCTTGCAGTCAGTGATTTGTCAAAAATAATTTAAAAATGAAAACTTCAACAATAATTGAATAATCACAAAAGTTGCAAACCAAAGAAAAAACTAACAACACAACGAAATTATTGAATGAACCATTTATGTTTCACCCAAAAATGACTACCAACATTAAAGAAGAGATATTTGGTGGGGGTCATAGCATCAATTTCCCCTAACTACCCTACACTAAATTCCATGTAAAAAGCATATATTGAGGATTATTTCACCAACAAAATCTAATTGCAGCAAGAAAAGAGTTCAGGATTTGTCAAAAATAATTTAAAAATGAAAACTTCAACAATAATTGAATAATCACAAAAGTTGCAAACCAAAGAAAAAACTAACAACACAACGAAATTATTGAATGAACCATTTATGTTTCACCCAAAAATGACTACCAACATTAAACCAAATTTAACATGTGGTATAGTTGAAGGTCAAGGTCACATTCCTGGTTGATGTGTGAATTCAACAGCAACTCAAGGGAATCTCGCAAACCACCACAAGAATAAAGGATATAGTCACCTAATATAGCAGTGTTTTCCAAAGAATCATAATATTGAAGAAAAACACTCTCCCTACCTCACAGCAGTCTCATCAACTAAGAAGCTAGGAGCAATAATGCTGTAAATATAGCCATTAAACCTAGGAATCATCACATCTTTCCTTGGTAGAGTATCTCCATGCACTAAATAATTCCTATGCATTGTTTCAGCTAAACTGTAAAAAGTTTTGCCCTATCATATGGCAACATAGCATAAACATAAATTCATAACTAATGCCACCAAAAGCAGAAACATAAAACCAAGATTTAGAAGTATAATGTAAGCCACAACCTCATCAATTAATCACCACACCCACTTCATACATGTTGAAAATTCCCGGATAAAGACAGAATTATGCAGAAAAAGGCGCTGACAAAGCAGGAAAGTTAGGAACCCTATGATCAAGAAAACAAAATCCTATTCTATTTATGGAGAAAGGGGAAAATAAGATGTCAAATTAGTAAGCAAAGTTAATAGAGTAGATCCCACATAGCTAATACCTAAATTAATATGACATATTAGCAAATATTAAAAGCTGAACATTTCATTGAAAAAACTATGATAATCCATCAAATCAAAATTATCATCAACCCCAATTCAGAAACCACAAATGGAAGCTAAAAAGAATGAATAAATGAAGAAAAAAACCTACAGTTAACAGTACTGGTTCAATGAACTCAATTGCAAAGCCACTATCACCCGACAATTTATCAGACTCATAAAAAAAAATCAACAAAAAATAAAAAAAAATTAAGAAAACCCAATTAACCAAATCATAAGATAATAAATAAAAAAAATCCATAAGTCAAATTACCAGAAAGTGAAAAAGAACAAAATTTTACCTCAGACCCACATCCTCTAATAACCCCTCCTTCAAGATTCTCACATGGATTCAGCTGCTTTACTTCCCCATCATAGATAATTCACAGCTCCCAAACAACCCAGAGTATCAACAAAGATTAAAGCTTTACGGCAACAAAAGAAACAAATACAGCAAAAACAACAAAGTGGGTGTTTTGTAACACCATTAAAGGAGCTTAGATCGTCATCAGATTGAAGAAAAAAACAGGAGATTTCGATCTACTGGGCCACTCTTTCTCTCTCTTAAAAAAAAGAATATTGTTGAAGTTCTAATTTTTATTTTTGTTTCTAGAGAGAGAATATTGAGAAGAAGAAAGAAAAAAGTTAATTGCTTTGAGGTGCTGTTAGAGAGAGAAAGAAAGAGAGAGATCCCAGATAAGAAATCTTCACACAAACAAACGACCTTCTAAGAACAGTGACATGAAATTTGTCAACATCCGGTCTCTTTTTATTCTCTGCTTTTTCTTCACTTCTCTCTTCTCTGCTCTCACATTTCTTTTATTTCCCAAAACATATATTTATATATTTCTCTCCTTGGGTTTTTGAGGAACTATAAAAGAAATGGGCATTTCTAGATTCTCTCCCCCTTCTTTGCTTTTGATACAAATATTTAATAAAAATAATATAAACTCATTATTTATTATTATTTAATTTAAATGAATTTTTTTTTTTTTTTGAGATTCGATTTCAACGTTTATAATTTTTTTGTGATCTTTATAAAAAATTATTAATAATCTCTAATTTAGTGTAAAAAATTATTACTACTTAAAAACTAAATTGAAATGATAAAAAATAAATATTTGTCGTATTAGTGCAAAATAAAGTTTGAAAAGAAATAACAAAATCTGCTAATGCAATGGGCAGTATTAATTAATTAACGTTAATTACATTGGTTTTCCATTTTAAGCAGTGTTTAATTGGGTAATAAAGCAGACAAAAAGTGGGGCCCTGTGATACTGTGTGAAGGATGAGGTTTATTGAGCTTAGGAGAGACATGTGCGGAAGAGAGTTGATGTAATAAATGCCCTTCAGAATCAGACATAATTACGAGATTAGATTTTTGTTCTTTCGATTAGAACCGGTGTTTGTGGTTGGTTTTGATTGGTTGATCCTCTGTTCACTTTAACTGCAAAAAGGCTAATTTGTGGGTACTGATTTTCACTACTCTTAAGTTGTCGTTGGTTCTCTACTCTAAAACTTAAACAAATAATAATATAATAATAATAAGAGTTGTATTCGAACACGTGGCTTCTTTTTGCAGGATACTTTCGGATTATCATTGGATGTGGCCAATAAAAAAGCGAGTCAATTCCCCAAAATGTTTACAAACAAAAAACCCCTACTCACACTTTGATTATTTCTTAGGTTTTATTATATTTTAATAAAATTGATTATTTATGTATTTGAATTATATAAAATATTAAAATTTATATATTTATATAAAATATAATATATCATAATTTATGTTAATATAAAAAATAAAATATTTTTTATTTTATTAAATATATATAATTATTATTAAAATTTTAAATCATATCACTTTTATATCTTATTTTTATATCATATCCATATTATATTATCATATTATATTTTAAATTATCAAATATAAATTTAATATTTAAGTGATTTTAAATATAAATATGTCTTCAAATCAAGAACTTAAATTACTAAATAAATGAATCAAAATTTAATTTAATAAGTTTTTGTAATTATTTTTAAAGGATAAGTTTTGTATAAAAATTTATGAAATTTTATAATGATTTTTTTACCGACTCGTTAATCTAAAATATATAATTTTGATAAAATATAAAACATTTTACTCTAATTTATGGGACTGAATAATTGTATGCCCATAAGAATAGAAATGACACTAAGAATGGCAAGTTTAAAAAGATGAAAGCATATAAGGAAGTAAAACTTGAGGTAGCTGTAAATCCCATAATAAACCATATAAGATTTTTTACATGACATATAAAACAAATGTCTTCACTTACCAAATATTAGGTAGAAATACTATATTTATCAAATGTTAAAAAATTAATGTTTCCTTTGACACTTTTCTCATCAAGTTCAATTAAAAATAGAGGGTAGTGATATAGACATGAATTCTTTTTCTTCAAACTAATTTTTTCATTAAGAAAGTGCCATTAGATGCCATTCAAAAGAGTCATTAGAAAATACATATATAAAAAAAAGTCCTTCAAAAATAGGTATTTAAGTAAAAAGAAGAAGTATAAATTAAAATGGGAGTAGAAATAATTTTTCATAATAATAATAACATAGAAATTAATCAGAAAGAGAAAGGGAGAGAGTCAGTTAAATTATTATAAAAAATTTCATGATTTTGAACACTTCATTCCCAATTACTCTCTCAAGTTTACCTTAATTTTGTAATTATGAGATACCTAACTACCTTATATAATTCCCATGTCCAAATAAAACAAATTAAAAGAATCATTCACCATAAGATTAGTAAAGGTAATTTTTTTTGGCCAGTAGATTATTAAATTATTAATTGTTTTATGCATGAGGTAGTAATATGTGTTGCATAAAAGTTATAAAGATATTTAAATTCGAAATTTAATCTAATTGATTTATATTGTTAATTTTAAAGTAATATTTATTTTTTCATCTTAAATTACAATCTCTTTTGTGTTAAAATATTAGAGAGATATTTCAATGTGAAAAATATTTGGTAAACTTAATTACAGGAACATTATTCTCATCCACATGTAATTTTGCTCACCAAAACTAGTAATAAAAGATTGGGTTAAGGAAGCTTTACCCCTTTCTTGGGGTGAGTCTAATTTGACTAAAATAAATGTTAAAGGAGTTTGAAATACTGTCAAATGTTTAACCTACTTTTTCTTTTTCCCCTTGATTTAATTCTTCTTTGGCAGCAATTTGACTTTGTCTGCATTGAAGAGCTAAGATCATGTACTTAATGATGTATAAGAAAAATATTTAGGGATTGCCACAATCAAGTTGTTGAAATTGAATTCTTCAACTCAAAAAAGTTGTGCAACCAAATAAAAATAGTGCAAAGGTAGGGATCAATTAGAAGAAATGTTAGAATTTGACTGCTAGGGAATTACTTGGAATCAAGAGGATTTCAGAGCAGATGACTTCAAGAATTGCACTGAAAAGAAAACCATTTTATTGGACCATGGTATCCCTCCCATCTTTCACATATTTATCATCAACACAAGAAAAAAAAAAAAACAAAAGCTATATGAGAAGGACTAGGACTCAAGACTAATTCATTTTTCTAATAATTTATATCTCAAAATCATTTAGGTATGAATTTGGGAATAAAATTTAATTCAATTAACTTATATCATATCAATTAAATTAAAATTTAAAATTTGAATTTGAGTATTTGTAATATTTTTATTAAATTACATCTGTTAAAAAAAATTGATATGACCTCACAGTGTTGAAAAAATTTAAATAAAAAAAGCAAAATCATTTGTCATTTTACCATTGGATAAGCATCTCATTTCTTGCGTACTCGCATTAGACAAGAAAGTAAAATTTAGTTTTATAATTTAAAATACGATATGAATATGATATGAATATAAGATATGAAAGTGACACGATTTAAAATTTTAGTAATAACTATATATAAGTTTAATATAATAAAAAATATATTTTATATTTTTGTATTGATACGAATTATAACACATAATTTTTATATAAAATACGGTACGAATATATAAATTTTAATAATTTATACGACATAAATACACGAATTGTCATATATATTAAAATCAATACCATCTGATTTGGGTAAGCTTGAATTTAACTATAAAACAAATTTCAGCAATATTTATATTTAATTAACTGTTGATTGTATGAAATTTTATATTTCATAAGAAAAATTATGAGTTAATAGTTGATGCATTGATTGTCAATCAATTTTATTTAATATTTCATTAATGAACAAAATTAAAAATTGCAAATCCTTAAATTAAATTATTTTATAAATTAATTAAATTTAAATAAACTGACTAATATTTGTTTTTAAAGATCTAATTATTTTTAGGTTTATAAGTTTGATATACAATGTCACTACATCAAATATCAACTCAAAAATTATTGTCATACCAAGCAAAAATAATTTGTATATATGCACCTAACGACCAAATTTTGTACATCCACACTTTGGGTTTCCAATGTGCCTTGAAATTAAATCTTAGAGATATTCCTTGCTTCTGTTTTTATGGTAAAGAATAAAATTGCTGAAGTTTTAGGAGGCATCCTCATATCAATTAATGGAGAAACTAAGAAAATAATAATATTGCGTGTTAAAATTTCCTTCTATATAATAGGACTATAGATCTTATATTCATTCCATACATATAAACATTTGACTCAATAATATATATATTACATATAAATTTTTTACTCGAAAATTAGATTAGAATCTCACTTTTTAACCGATATTTGAATTGAATTTTTTAGTGAGAAATTGTGTATCAATTATAAAATCAAATACTCGGTAATTCGAATGTTTTTTTTTTTGTAAATTCGGATATAAGTTTTTTGGTGTATATATATATAATTATCAGATCTAAAATGTTAAGTCGATTTTGTTTTAGCCGACAAATTACATTAAGATATTTAGCAAATTACACTGAAATTTAACATTACTAGTTCGAGTAATTAATAGTTGTTGTTCAACCTTTCTAATTGAAAACATTAATCTTAACTACTATAATATTTCCTTTAATTTTTAATCAATTATTGTTATTGAAGAAAAGTGGTGTGCCACATTGTGGAAGTGGGTTTCAATCACATACTTAAGTCATTAATTCACATTTTTTTACAAACTCTATTAGTAAATAACCTGTCCAATAATGAATTTTATACACAAATTTTCAGAGAAATTGATGGGTATGTATTGATAGCTTAATTTGATTTAATCATGGTATGTATGGGCACAAAAATTCCTCAGTACTAACATTATCAGGTCGGACCACAGCCCTCTATCCCTCCAATATTGATCATGCAATCCAGAGCTGACAAAAATAAACATGAATTGCGTATGGACACATACACATTGATTTTATTTTTTTTTTATGATTGGACCAAAAAAAATTTATTGCTACTATTATACAGTTTTAATAAATAAATTGTGGATACCAGGTGACCAACACCACCTCTAGAGATATATAAAGTACAATTTCATTTGTACGTGAAAGAGGACTTCAATTCTATTTTTGGTTGAAGTCATAATCAAACATTGAAGATTAATTAATGAATTGCTTCAACTTTTCAAATGAACTTAAAGGAAAAAATTGATAGCATAGTTAATTCTTTCAATGCATCAAGTAATAAAATACGAAAAAAAAAAGATTTTTCCACTGCTAGAACTTAAGATTCAAATTCAAAGAATTCATATTTAAATTCTAAGACCAACTTCTTGTTTTTTATTATATAAAATAATATCATATGATGATCGGTTAAATTATAACTTAATGGGTAATCGAAATAAATTATTGAATTAAAAAAAAGTCAATAATTTGTAAAATTTATTAATAAAATATTAAACTCTTAATTTTCGTAATCATAAT